CTGACTCAACATTTTATGTTCCCATATGGCCAACTCTGACCATATACAAATGTATCTGAACTCACCATCATCTTTCTGCCTTCCATTTTTAAGATGTCCCCCCCCCCCAAATATTAAAACAAGGAGATAGCAACAAAAAAGCCCTGCTCTCCCTTCCTCATTACTACCATGCCTCATTTCTACCAGGAGTTTGACTGCTCGCTATGATATACTCCTCTCTTTAAGGTTAGAGTAGAAAAAATTTTAAACAAAGATTTTTTAAAAATAACACCGGATTTAGAATATTCCTCTTCTCCAAAATTTTCAACTGTATTTTTAAATTACATTTTCAAATATATAGATAATTCTATAGTCTTTCTTTAAAAAAATCATGAGATGATTCTAAATAAAAATGACATGTATACAATTAATTTTATTTAGGTCTTTCATTGAGGACATGCTCTCCCCTAAAAGAGCAATTTCTACAAGAAAATATAGATATACATTTTCAAATAGATATGGTTTCTTGGAGTGCATTTCAACACATTGGTTAATTAAACCTTTTTCTTAAAGAAATTCAAAAGCAAGTCTCACTATCTTAGTCATCTCTGACAAAATACTATAGTTATAAAAGTGTGGTTAACAACATTACTTATATTCTTTTTCTTTTTAATATGTTTTTATTGATTTTTAAGGGAGAGGAAGGGAGAGGGTTAGAGAGAGAGATAGAAACATTGATGAGAGAGAAACATCATTTATCAACTGCCTCCTGTACGCACCTCTACTGGAGATTGAGCCCGTAAGCTGGGCATGTGCCCTGATCGGGAATCTAACCAGTGATATCTTGGTTCCTGGGTCGATGCTCAACTGCTAAGCCACCCCAGCTGAGCAACATTACTCATATTATTAAAGTGCTTCATTACCATTCATGCTAATCAAATACCCTTTACCATGGCTTAACCATGATGAGGAATTCTTTTAAATCAAGTTTTAGCATCTAAATATATAGGGAAAAAAGCAAAATATATAAGTTATTGCTTTTTTATTTAAAATTATTTTAATTTCAAATTATGGTGAGTAAAAAAATAAACTAAAAAGAATGAAGAAAAAAGAGAAAATAAGAATAAAAGAAATAAGAAAAAGCAAAAAGAGAAAAACTAACTAGTTTTACCTACTCTTCACTTTAGCCAATTCACTGTATTATAATTCACTTTCTGTGTGAATTATCTGATTATTCATTGTTCAGAGTTCTTTATCCTTATACTTTAGTTTCTCTATAGAGCAACATTAATACGCATCAATATAGCTTCCTAAAGCTGTAGTAGGAAGCACAACAGTATTTTCTCTAGTGTGTCATACTCAGAGCTTCATCTGATTCCATCAAATATTTTCTTAATTATAAAATTAGTAAAATCTCTAAAACCCAGTTCATAATTTTTCAACTCTACTTAATTCTTCTGATTTTAGTGGAAGTGTATCATGAGGTGAAACTAAAACACTGAGAGAGAATAGTCAGTTAAAAAAATAAAATTAGGGTGTTGGGGGACTGGGTGAGAAAGGTGAAAGGATTAAGTAATAACAATCCTATATAATAAAAGCCTAATGCAAACTGTCAGACCGGGAGTTTGACCCCTTACTGTGATGTGCACTGACCACCAGGGGGTGACATGGAACATGGCAGGTGTCAGCAATGCGGCATTAGCAGCAGTTGGCAGTGGAAGTACTGCCGGCCCCAATGGGCCCCGACAAGAGCGGGACTGCGGCAGGATGGTGGATCAGGTGAGCAGGTGGTGCCAGGCTGAGGCGGGTGCAAGCAGAGGCCTGATCGCCCCACAGACGGCAACCAGCGTCGGTGGCAGCGGAACAGGCCCGCCACCAGGCTCCAAGGCACTGAGGGAGCCAGGAAGGGTGCCCAGCCCTAATCAATTGCCCTGCAGGCAGGATGGTGGAGCAGGTGAGGGGGCGGTGCCAGGCCAAGGAGGGGCTGTGAGGCTGGAGGTGCGAGGTGGGGCCCGATTCGTGCAGGCCACCCTGAGGGAGCCCCCACCCGTGCACGAATTTGTACACCAGGCCTCTAGTAATAATAATAAAAAACAACAACTTACACACACAGACAACAATATGGTGGTTACCAGAGGGGAAGGTGGGTGGGGGGAAGTAGAAGAGGGTAAAAAAGGGGATAAATGGTGATCAAAGAAGACTTTTATGAACACACAATACAATCTACAGACAATGCATTATAGAATTGTATACTGAAACCTATATAATTTTATTAACCAACTAGAGGCCTGGTGTACAAATTGATGCATGGGTGGGTCCCTCTGTCTGGCCAGTAATCAGGGCTGATCGGGGCCAATCAGGGCCGGCTGGCTGGCAGGAAGGGGTGGGATGTCATCCCAATAAATTCACAAAAATTAAAAGAACATTATGGTGTTTGCATATCTATATCTAACTATAA